TGAACTTCTGACCTCTAGAACTGTAAAATAATAATTTGTACTGTTTTAAGTCATGAAGTTTGTGTTCGTTTGTCACAGTAGCAGCAGGAAACTAATACATACAGCAATACCAAGGCTCTCCTTGGCCCCTTCATCAAAATTCTCTTGGGCAAGTCAGCAGAGCTCACCAGTGCAAATCCAGTGATCATCTTACAGTGACGTTTGTACTTGACCGCTTTTCAAGTATATGTTCAGTTATATCAGGAAATTTTAATCTGAGATCCATAAATGGGACTTTGAGGGTCTATGAGCCTTCTACAAGTCTGCACAAAATTTTGTGGTTATTTGGGCTTTCCTTGGGAAAGAGTTCATAGATTTCCTCAGATTCACAAAGGGTTCTATTTCCTAAAGGCTGAAAACCACTGAGCTATCCAGAGATACCTAGATTGTGGGTCTCCTCTGCCCAGAAAGCCTGGGGTGAGGAACCAGGGAGGCATGGGTGAGGGGCTTGTAATGTTGAGGACAAAGGGTGGCTGTTTGATACTGATATTCCCACAGGTGACCTTCTTTCTATGCTCATCAGGACTCACCTGCCTCTACCTGGCAGCCCAACAGCTTCACACCAAGCTTACAGGTGGGAGAGAAAGCTCTGAAACTGAGCCTGAATTTAGTGATGGATAAGGCATAGCAGCCCTCCCATCTACCTTGTCCACTTGACGGTTATCACACACCGCTGCACAAAACCACCTATGTATTAGTATAACTGTTATCTCTATTAGCTCAGCCTTATGCATGTATACCAGGCTCAACAGGATTTAAGGGTGCTGGAAGTCAAAACTCTTGTCAGATATCCGTCATGGTGTTATCCGTGTGGTCACTACTTCACTGTTTTTTCAGATGAATAAATGACAACATGTTAAATAACTAGGTAGCTGGATTTGGTATTTACTCCAATTTAAAGAGCCAAGATAAGGCCTATCTCATAAGAACAGATTGTTTTGAAATCTCCATTAATGTAAATGAAGGTTTTTCAGTTCTAAAGCTCTGTGATCATGGACGGAGTGTCTTACATGATAACAACTATTGATATTTATGCAGTCCTTGGTAGTTTACAAGGTGCTTATGTACACATGCTCAATAATCATGTGGTATTTTCAAATGTAGAGGGCCTCTGGGAGGGGGTTCTCTGATATTTTCACCTTTCATTTGGAGAAACTTGAATGATGTAGGTTGATTCCTAGAGAAATAAGTTCTCCAGATACCCCAGGTTAGGATCTAACTGTTTCCTCAGTTACTGAGTCCTCTTCCTGCTGTTTAAATCTGTCTTTTCTTCTTCTATCTTTAGTAGTCATTTAGATAATACCTGAGGAGTTAATGTTTTCCTGGCAAAACCTGGTGGAATACTTCGTTGTTCTTTCCCTTCTTTCATGAAGACTGGAGAATGCTTAGCAATAAAAATGCTTAGTCGGGTTGATCTACTTTAAATAAGGCAGCCGGACCATGGTGGATGTAGGCATTTCACTGATGTTACTGTTTGGTTTGAATATACAGCAAGGATAGAAAAATGTCAATTAAAGATGATGATCAGCTTCAAACAGTCTCACTGCAATGGTGAGTCTATAATGAATTAGAGGGCTTAGACAGGAAAGAGGCCAAAGACTTGAAACATAAAGGTTTTAGAACTATGCGGTGTCAAAAGGGAGAGCAGTATTTCTTAATTTGACAAATATTACTCATAAAACCCAGAGCAGCAATGCAAATGGCAACAGGAAGAGTATTCCAAAGCTAAGGAATAGCAAACATAAATGCTATTGTGAAATGAAAGACCCTTTCAGGAAGGCATAACACTGATTTTGCACAGTAGAAATTCTTATACTGTGGAAGGGGAAAAAAAAGGAACAATACCGGCTCCTTTTAAGGCCAGGCCCAGCCCCACATGGAGGCAACTAGACCAATGTCTGGTCTGACTACCCATCATCACTTTGGCCATCACGGTGGTGGTTTCTGGGTATTTACTCCCTTGAGTTGTCATGCAAGGACACTGTTAAAATGTAGGAAGTGTTAACAAATTAACCCAGTAACAGTCATTTCTGTATTCTTTTATACCAGTATTTAGAAAATTAACAGAGAGCGTTCCTTGAGGCCACGGACCAGGAGACTTTAATACTGAGGACAGAAAATGTCCAGAGTAAGGGTCACAGGTTGGGGGAGAGGGATGAGAGGCAGTCATGAGCACATTGGATGTGTATCAGACCTGAAAAGGGAGCCTGGAAGTTTGGGGATGACCCCACAGGAAGTTCCCGATGCTGGTTTTGCTGACAGCAACATTTTCACCAGAAATGGCTCTCTTGAGAGACCCTCCAATTAAATTAACAGAATCACAGAAGAGTCTGTGTCTGACCCAGGGCAGGTTGCCCTTTTTGCTCACTTTTTCACTCTCATCCCACCTTTTTTTGACGCTAGCCCTTTCACTTTAAAGGATTTGGGTTACCTGATTGGCCAAAAGTCAAGGAGCAGGGTCAAAAGAAACCCCCAGTTGTGAAGGTATGCAATTATTTTATGTTCTCGGTTGTATAGCATCTGCCTTGCTAATTAACTGATGGATAGGATGTACATTATCAAGCTGTCTGCTTCCAAAAGTACCAAAAATCCATATGGCTGTTTAGCAAGCTCACAAGTGCTGGGCATCACCATCACTATTTGGAAGAAACCTAACTTTACTTGCAAGTGGGAAAATGGTACCCCAAAGAGGTAGGAAGCTTGAAATTGATGTAGGAAAACTACTAGCTGGGCTAACAAAACCTTGAAAAGGTATTTATCTGATATATGTGTTTGGCTCCAGATAAAAGATACTTTCACTACTCTGCCTTTTTATTTCAGCAACGTCTAGCTCAGTCAGTTGTCTCAAATAGCTTCATTTTCTTAAGTAGTGCTTTGGCTTATTAGCAGGCAGATGGGGGTTTTGGATTTTTTTAAGTGAGAATTCTCACTTTGCTATGTTAATCAAGCAAAGTGACATCCTTTTTGATTGCCTGGTGAATTATGAAACCAGATCGAACCGAAAGTTCTGCACTTACTGTAATATAAGGCGACGAAGAGTGAATCAGCCTTGGATTTAAATACTGTCCCACTTATAGGTTCAGTGGCCCCAGGTAAATCACTTAAATTTTCTGAGTATTTTTTTAATTTGGAAAAAACGTCAGGATTGTATTTGTTATTTAAAGAAATTTGTGTGAATTAAATAGGCTCCTATTTGAGGAAAAAGCTTAACACAGTGTGTGTGTGCATGCGTTCTTAGTCATGTCCTACTCTTTTTGACCCTATGGACTGTAACCTGCCAGGTCCCTCTGTCCATGGGATTTTCCAGGCAAGAATACTGGAGAGGGTTGCCATTTCCTTCTCCAGGGGATCTTCCTGACCCAGGGGCTGAGTCTACATCTCCTGTGTCTCCCAGATTGGCAGGCTGATTCTTTACCACTGAGCATCCTGGGAAGCCCATTTAACATAGTGTAAATGCCATAAAATATTCAGAATATTCCCTATGTAAGGGTTTCAGATTAATTCTCATGGGAAGCTGGGAAGGTGAGGAGGTGATCTGACAAAAAGAAGGTTGTAGGAGGGGTCTCTGAGAGCTGGGATTTATTTAATACATAGCTTTTTGTCCTGAACTCTAAATGAGATGGGAATCATATACCTTAGTTAATAACTAGTATCTCACTGAAAACATATTTAAAGTGAAAGTATGTTCTTTTTCCTAAGGGGCAGGCCACGTGGTGGAGCAGAGTTAGTGGACTGAATCGCTTTTCCAAACTGCTAATCATGTAAGTTTTGAGACAGTGGAAAAGTTGAGGGTAGGAGGAAGTCTGTGAACCCGAGGAGCCTTGGCATACTTGGTTGCTGATGGTCAGTTGCTCAGCCAAGTCTGACTCCTTGTGACCCCGCAGCCTGCAGCATGCCAGAGGCCTCTGTCCTCCAGTATCTTCTGGAGTTTGCTCAAATTCGTGTCCATCGAGTCAGTGATGCTATCTAACCGTCTCCTCCTCTGCTATCCCCTTCTCCTTTCGCCTTGACACGCTCCTCCCTTGTGATTTCCCGGAGGTTTTTAAATGTCATTTGCTTCACAGACCTCTTGGACCTCCTTCTGAACTCCTGACTAATGTGGAAACACATTTTGTAAGTATTGAGAAGTGGAGCAAGCACTCTGAATGATTACTTCGTGCATGTGGTGCCCGTGACTCAGACCTCCTCCTTTATCCCAGACCTGGGCAGTCCGCCTCCAGCTCCGCTTGTCCAGGCCACTGTCATTGGTATCCAGATACCGTGACCTGAATAACTCAGAACAAGTCCTGTTTACTCTTTAGCTCCTCAAAAATAAATGCGTGAATAAAAAAATCAAATGGGAAACAGAACTAGGCAGAACATTTGTGATAAATGTTCCTGATCAGGTATCGGCTAAGAAATTACTTCTGAGCTGTGACATTTGCTTTGGACATTTGGGTGGTTTGGTGGGGGAGGTGTTTAAGTATAATTGACATGAATTACATATTAGTTTCAGGAGTACATAATGATCTGATGTTTGTATGTATTGTAAAATGTCCACCACAGTAAGTCTAGTTAACATTCAGGATGGATTAATTTTAAAGCTTGCTTGATTCAATTCCTAGGTAGGAATCTCATTACATGTTATTAATATTTGCGGAAGTTGCTTCTCTTTCAGGACTGGACCCTCCAAGAAGTTGCCTGTCCTTATGAAGTCATGTCTTTTCAATGACTTCATAAGCAACTTGGCAAAGAATTTTGCCTGGACATCCCATCTGCTCTCAGTGACTCTGATTACAGCACCACTTTTTGTTCATTTCATTTTCTCAATGTGCTCTTTAAATAAACAGTGACAGGATGAAGAGGGAGGAGTGAACGGGATGCTGGGGGTTGAGAAGCTTGGAAACATAAATGAGGCACTTGGATTTCTCAGAACAGAGTCTATTGCTTTTCAGGATTCACTAAATTTGCCTTTTACTCACCATTGCATGATTCAACCACACTGGAAAGATGGTATCTAGGGCCTTAGGGTAAACGAGTTCTCTGTCGTAGAGAAAGAGAATCCAGAATGACAGAAATACAAACTGCAAAATAGAACAGAAAAATAGCACCATTAGGTTTATTTTCAATCGGAGCTTCCTAAGATAGTCAAGAAAACATATCAAAATAAACATAGATACCAGTTTTAAAGATACATTCTTATATAGAATTATTACATGAAGGAAAAAATTATTTATCATAGAATTACAATGCCCAGTCTCTGGGGACTTCAGAGAGTTAGGAATCAGTTGTCAATGTGGCCAGCAGACAGGATGTAGAGAAACAGGATTCGCAGACCATTAAGTCATTTCATTTTGACCATGACTTCTCTCTTCTCTAAGCTTCCCCAGGAGGCCTGAAAGCAGCCAAATGGAGTAGCTAAGCCTTACACATGGCTTGCCCACTCTCTAGGTAGGTGTGGCCAGGGGAAGCAGGAAGACTGGGCTCGAGGGTGGAGGGGTTTGAGGGGGTGGATAACTGACAAGCCCCCAGGATAATCCACTAAGCTAGTTAACTGACAGTTGGATCTCTTTCTTGCTCAGAACTCTGGATTGATCTCCATCCTCTTGTACCCCTTGGCTATCTTTTCAAAGTCTCTGTCTTCCATGCTACAAAATCAATGCAGAGATGAAAAAAAAAAACAAAAAACTATTAATCTTCTGATCGTCCTATCTCCTTAAATTCCAAAGGCTCAATTTCTAAGTCTTAAAAAAAAAAAAAAGAATAAACTCCATTGTTAAGCAACTTGGTCTTTAGAAGATTTTGGGGGGTGGAGGAGGAGGTGTCCTGCAAAGTAAGATTGGAATGCTAGTACTTGCTCTGCTATCTGAGACCTTATTAGTGCTTGGAGAGTTTCATTCTGGATTTAAGTTTAAAGTCTCAATACTGTAGGAAGCAGGACGATGACAGGTGGAAGGAGATAGTCATTTTTCATTACAGGCCCTGCTGGGCCGCTGGTGTGCCTGGCTTCAGTTTGTTTTCATTCTAACTAATGAGTGAAATTGTGAGTGAGTTGTAGAAATGTGGACAGTACCAGCTACAACTGTCCCTTGCATATGTCTTGCATTTTCCCAATGTCCATTCATTCAACAAAATGCATGAGGCACCACCCACTGTGGGTCCCACCCCAGGTATTTCAGACAGACTGTCTCTCTCCTCTCAAAATGTCAACTTTGAAAGGTTTCATACCTTTTTTAGAAAAATGGTTTCCAATTGCAAAAGTAACAAATGCTTATTGTTCAAGTGAAACCAGATGTATGAAAGGCAAGTTACTCATCTCCTTCTTTAGCACCCTCCATTCCCATCATCCCAATGGAACCAAGGTTATCTTGGTTGTATTTTGGTTAAGAAAGGTCCTTTAGAATTCCCTGCCCGACAGTAATAAGGATCTCATATCAAACATTCACAAAGATACAAACGCTAATGATAAATCTTGGCAGTGATGTGTCTTATTTCCCCAAGACATTGGGCAGTGCAATGCAGTCCTTGGGCCATTTATGCAAATGCGGTTGCCATGGATTACAGTAACGGGCTCTTGCTGCCTAGGAGAAGTCTTGGTCCGTATGACGTGAGCATTATATCACCTGCGTATCTTTGTAACTTACTGTGGATATCGGAAAAGCCAGTGTGGTGAAAAGCAGGTCTCTGAAGGCTGTTACGAACTTAATGTCTTTTTTCCCTTTGGTTCTTTTCAGCACATCTTCCAGGCAGGCCACCCCGAAGAAAATGGCCTGCAAGAGCTAAATTCATTACAACAAATGAGCACATTTTCATTTCCTTTAATTAATACATTCTTCACTGACGTGAAGCGCCATCCCTCTGGGAGCAGGGTCGATTTGAGAAGCAGGGGGCTGCTGGCTCTTCTGGTTGGGAGCCAAGTGGAAGGCTGGTCTCTCAGCTCAGTGGGCCCTGACCTTGCTCACTAAAACGGATTGTGTAAAGTTGTTTAGGGGATAATAATGTGTACTGTAGTTAGCGTAATGGACTTGAGCGAAAATGGAAACAGAATAGAGTCAGCTTAACAGGAAAATGTAATGAGATAGATACCCTGGCTGCACAGAGGAGGGGAAACCAAATAAACAGCACAAGGGCACAGCACCAGATTCAGTGATGGCTGTATTCTGGCTCCTTCCTAGGAAGAACACCGCTCTAAATGCCTGGTGTTGCAATCTCGTTAGAGAAGCCAGAACCAGGGCCAAGAGCACCAGGAAGGAGCTCTGTGCTCCCCCAGGGGAGACCCACACATCGGCATCTTGCCTGTCTGAGGAAGAAGCCAGTGCCCCCTCCCCGCCTCACTAAGAGGGGGCTGATTCATGTGAATGTCTGACAAAACCACTACAATATCGTAAAGTAATTAGCCTCCAATTAAAATAAATAAACTTTAAAAAAATTAAAAGAAAAAGAAAATTAAAAAAAAAAAAGAGGGGGAATCTGAAGGCTTTGCAGAGACTATCTGTTTGAGGGAGTGATTTCAATCCATGGGGCTAGATACATGGTGGGCTTGGGTAACCTCTGAGTACCCTGAGGGCCTTGAGGGTAAGACAGAAGCAGGCTGGTGCAGAGCACCAGTTTGAGCGCCCCAAGTAATAGTGAAAGTTCCCACTGGCTATCTGTTTCACATACGGCGGTGTGTGTGCTTCCCCGCTGCCCTCCCTGTTCGTCTCACCCTCTCCTTCCTCCCCCTGCCCGTCTATGTAAGTCTGTTCTCCTGCCTTCGAGGGGAAGGGTGGGAGGTGGGAGGGAGGTTCGGGAGGGCGGGGACATATGTACACCTACGGCGAATTCAGGCTGATGTCTGGCAGTGAAAGTGAAAGTGTCAGTCGCTCAGTTGTGTCTGACTCTTTGCGGCCCTAGGGACTGTAGCCCACCAGGATCCTCTGCCTACAGAACCATCCCAGCAAGAATACTGGAGTGGGTTGCCATTCCCTTCTTCAGGGGATCCTCCTGGCCCAGGGATCAAACCTGAGTCTCCTGCATTGAAGGCATATTCTTTACCATTTGAGCCACCAGGGAAGCCCTCCCTGATGTATGACAGAAATGAAATCAATATTGTAAAGCAATTATCCTTCAATTAAAAAAAATTTTTTTTTTTAAAGAAGCAGGGCCGTTTTCGAGGACATAGATCACAGTTGGAGCAGACTCTGTCCGTTCTCACAATTTGCCACAAACCCACAGCTTCTGAAAAGTGTCATGACAGTATAGAATAGGAGCTGGCTTTGAGTTATTGCCTCAGAATCCATCCTGTTCTTCAAGAGCTCTGATTGGTACGGAAGAAACAGCCTGGACTCTGCTCCAAGTCTGAGTCAGGCAAGTTCTGGTACCTGGGCAGTTGGACTAATGATCAACCACGTCGGTGGCTGGAAAACAACCTCTGTGTCCGGAACCCTAGAAGACCTCTAGCCGAGCTGACCTCCTGCCACTCCTCGGGCAGACGGGGTGAGCAGGAGAGGATGCTGGGGGAAGAGGCCAGGGATGCTCCCACCTGGGTCCTCAGACCTGCAGCGCCCTCGGCCTGTTAGAAATGTGGGTACTCAGCCCCTCCCCACCCTACCCCCAGCCTGCAGAATCAGAGACTCTGGGGACAGGGCCCAGGAACTAGTTTTCTAATAAACTCTTCAGGTGATCTTTGTAAAGGCTTAGCTTCTAGAACCACTGGATTAGACACAAATTTATCATTTACAAATCTTACTGACTACTCAAAACTATGATAGCTGATTTGGGGGGTAATAGTTGACTTTTATTGATTTCCTGCTTTATGCCAGGCACTGATCGAAGCTTTCAATTTCTTGTAAAAAACCCTATGAGGTAAGTAGTATTATTACTCTCTGCATCCCATTTTACAGATGAGAAAACAGGCTGAACAAACTTGCCTGAAGTCTCATGGTTGATAAATATCAAGGCCAGGAAACCCAAAGTTTGTTTTCCGCCAGACTTTACAACCAACAAACATACAAACCATGTGTCAGTTTTCTAAGAACAAAGATGAAAGCACCGTGGGAGCTCAGAACAGAGACCGCTATCTCCAGGTGGGAGAATTAAAAATGACTTCAAAAAATACCAAAGTCTGATTCTCAGCCCCCAAAGATTCTAATGTGATGAGTCTGGGGGTGCAACCTAGTCTCTCGCGTGATTCTAATCAGAGTAGCCAAAGTTGAGAATCACTTGTCTAGAGGAACTTGCTTTTGCAAATGCAGACCTGGAGGTCTCCAGGGAGACAGGGCTGCGGAGATGCAGAAAGTGAAGCTCCACGGTGGAATGAGGTTTCTGAAGAGACAACAGAGGGAAGAGGAGAGAAGTGGGCTGCAAAGGCTAAGGAAACGCCCTCTTCTAAGGGGCTGGAGGGGCCACAAAGTAGCCAAGAGTGATCAGATGGTAGAAAAGCAGGAACATGCAAGAACCCCTATCTGACACTGAGGAGGAAGCTTGAAGCCAGAAGGGGTCCTTCCAGCGAGGGTGGGTGTGCGACAAAGCGTGGGAAGTCACTTCAGTCATGTCTGACTCTTTGCACCGCTATGGACCCTAGCCCACCAGGCTCCTCTGTCCATGGGGTTCTCCAGGCAAGAATACTGGAGTGGGTTGCCATGTCCTCCTCCAGGGGGATCTTCCCCACCCAGGGATCAAACCTGTGTCTCTTTAAGTCTCCTGCGTTGGCAGGCAAGTTCTTTACCACTAGCACCCCCGTGGGCAACAGTTTTAAAGGCCACAGAGCGGCTGCCACCCCCCTGTACTTATTCACTCCTGCTGTTTGGCCCTTGCAAGGCTGCAGAAGCGGGGGGCAGCCTCTGCCTGCGGAAGCTGGCCGCGGGGGCCTGTCCCTCCTTCTTCCCCAGCGGCCTTNGCCCACCGAGGACAGCGCAGGCAGCTGCTGGAGTCGCGGAGGGCCGGCGTGGGGCCTGGGCCCCGGTGAGGAGGCCTGCACCGTCCTGTCAGCACGGCAATTCATCACGCGCTGAGCGCGGAGCGGCTGCCAGGCTTTCCCTCCTCCGGGAGAGCGGCCTCCGCCCAGCACGTGAAGTCCATGTGACCACTTTCCGCAGCGGGACCTTCCTCGTGTCATCCCACGTCAGGCGCGTCCTGACTTTCTCTTGCCTTTTCCCGGTTGCGGAACGTGGAAACTGGGCTCTCACCGGCTCTTACTCACAGTCTCCGGGGCTTCTCCTTCTCCGACACAGCTTGAGGCCATGCCACAAACCCGCCAACCCCTTCTCCCTCTCCCCTCAGCTCGCAGGAGGGCGCTGCCTTGGAGAGATGCCCACTGTGGACGTGAGGCAGCCTTGTCTCCACTGACCTCCACCCGCAGTGATGCGCCACCGTCTGCATTAACAAGGAATCTCTAAGGGGCCCTTGCGGAGGAGCCCAGGAGGCAGGCGAGAGGTGGATGCCAAGAGAGATAAATAAGGGAGAACGAGGGCTTGAGGGTTTCCCAGGTAGCCCTAAAGGTAAGGAAAGTGAAAGTCACTCAGTTGTGTCTGACTCTTTGCCACCCTGTGGACTATACAGTCCATTGAATTCTTCAGGCCAGAATACTGGAGTGGGAAGCCATTCCCTTCTCCAGGGGATCTACCCAACCCAGGGATTGAACCCAGGTCTCCTGCATTGCAGGTGGATTCTTTACCAGCTGAGCTATCAGGGAAACCCTCAAAGGTAAAGAAGCTGCCTGCCAATGCAGGAAGCATGAGAGACACGCATTTGATCCCTGAGTTGGGAAGATCCCCTGGAGGAGGGCATCGCTACCCACTCCAGTATTCCAGCCAGAAGAATTCCATGGAGAGACTGGTGGCTGCAGTCCACAGGCTCGCAGAGTTGGACCGGAGAGAAGTGACTGAGCACGCACACCGGGCCTGGAGGATGCCCACAGCAGAGCTGGGAGCGAGGAGAGGGAGGCTTCACGGAGGGCCTCAGGCCAGGTTTGAATCAGCTCGCAAAATGGGACACTGGTCTGCTCATTCTCGAAGGACGATACAGTGGAATGTTGAGAAGACACTCACAGAAAGAATAGTCAACGGGGAACACGGCAGCTGTTATGGACTGAGCCGTGCCCAGCCCCCCACCCAAATGCACATGTTGAAGTTATAACCCTCAGTACCTCAGAAAGGGGCTGTGTTTGGACGCAGGGCCTTTAAAGAGCTGATGAAGTTAAAATGAGGACGGTAGGGTGGACCCTAACCTACTAGGACCAGTGTCCTTATGAGAAGAGGAGATAAGGACACAGAGCCACACAGAGGGCAGGGCACGTGAAGAGGGGGAGACACAGCCGTCTGCAAGCCAAGGAGAGAGGCTGGTAGAAGCAACCCCGCTAACACCGTGGTCGTGGACCTCTGGCCTCCAGAGCTCTGAGGAAACTGCTGTTCAAGGACCCCAGCCTGTAGTGGGCTGTTATAGCAGCAGATTAATACAGTAGCTTTCAAAGAAGATAGAACAACCGGCCACCTTTTATGGCTGTCACAACAAAACTACTGTTGTTTACATTCCTCAACGATTTCGGCTCCTCAGAAAAGCAGAGCTCATGGTATCTTCTCAGTCAGGGTTTACTTCAGGGTTGCTGCCCTCTGATTTATCCTTTCTTCCCTAATTCCATTGGTTTTTTGGTTCCTTCTCCCAAAATGCTGCTGATCTAAGTTTGTCCGCAGTCTTCCATTTTTGTTGCTAGCTGACAAACTTACCACCTGGGAGAGCTTAATTTACATTTTTTTATAACTAGTGCAATTTAAGAAACCACAGCTAAAGGATATTCCGTTTT